TATTGCTTGCTTGCCCTATGCTATACTCGGTCAGAGGTTTTACTTGGATGTTGATCGGGATGTTGTAGTTAGAACGAGTCAGTGTCACACTCTAGTCTATTCCTTCCCAAAGAATGATCCGTTCGAGACCTATTGAAAAAGAAATATGTTTAGAATTTCCATAACATCCCTAATTAATACGTTCAGAATATCCGAAAACCAATCAGCATTCATTAAGCTTTCAATCCTCATTGGAATGGTCCACCGCTTGGCCCATTCACCTCACATGGATTAAGCCTACGAGAGAAGTCATAATTGGATCCGAGATTATATTGCACTATTATAAACCCAATAAGGTAGGTTATTTCACAAACACAAGATAACTATCCACCCACAATTCGATTGAAATTCACTCTTCATCATCTTCTTCCTCTGACCGAAACGATCCCTAACTACCACTTATCAGAACAGATTACACTCACCTAGAATAAGAATGCAAAACTAAATAAATAAATGCGCAGGACAATTGACTTGTTCTGTGCTTTTATAAACATGTGGTCTGCTTTATGTTACTTGTGGCATACTCAAATAAACATGTGGTGTTCGTGAATGGACATGTGGTGTGCTTTTAGAAACTAATGGTGCGTGTTTCTAAACTTGTGGTCTGCTATGTGCAATCATATTGTGGAGAGAGGCGGTCGGTGTACCATGCCTCTCGATTTGAGCCAAGTGCTATGGTCGGAGATGGCGATTGGAAATAGAATGGAAGGACGAAAGAAGAAGAGTGTGTACATCTTAATTGCTTGGATCGAATTCAACGAAGAACTGGGGTTGTGAATCCAAAATTCTGGACTAGAATTGGAATCGATCTAATTATGCAATCGAATATCGAAATGGAGGAGGCGATGAGGGATGGGAGATAGAAAAAGAAAGAGAACGAGAGCGCGGGACGGAGGACGGAGGAAGGGCTGGCTGTACAACTGGAGGAGTAAAGGGTTGGGTGGTTTGCAGATCAGGGTTGGGTCGTCTCCCCAAACCTTAAGTTTGGTTCGTACGTCCTGGCCGACCATATGATGGAAGTAGATTACAATGTAACATTTTTGGGTTAGGGGACCAGTAGCGTAATTTTATTTATAATTCCACAAAAACAGAGCCTGCAAATTATATAGACCGTTGAGATCACTTGGATGGTTAAGATCTAACGGTTACAAAAAATTGATTTATTTATAATTAATTATTATCTAATAAACTATATTATATTTATTAAAATAATTTATAGTAATGATAATTGTAATTAGGCCCCTCATTAATAACCTCCGTTGAAGCTTGATTTGCCTTTACTCCATCCTGCTGGACGATGAACCCATAGCCCGACTCCGCCACTTCCCTCCTCTTGCACGATTTCTCTACCAAGGATAAGTCTCCACCCGCCTTCAAATATATCACCTGGACGCAGGGTTCTAAAAAGCGCGTCTAGGCACTCTCCTAATCTCGCCTAGGCGCAAGTCAGAAGGAAAATGCCTCGCCTTGGCAAAAAACCGTGGAGAAGGCATCACAATTGAGTTGTGCCTAAAATGATGTCATGATGTCTTTTTCTACCTTTTGATATGTTACTAGAGAGGAATGTCTTGAATACTCTATAGTTATGCTAGGATATAGTTAGAGACGACAATCTTTATATTAGCTCCTTCTTTCTTTTTTGCGCTTCTTCGTCTCAATATGCTTTGCTATTTTTCAGCTTCTTCTTCCTTACTCATTTCTCCACAATATGTTTTATGTTTCACTATGTGTTGTTGATGAAAGTTTAGAAATGAGAGGTAGATGTGATGATATTGGGTTTAAAAACTCATGATTTAAGCACATATGAGATATTATACTACGTTTACATCTAACGCTTAGAGACGCTTAGGCAACGCCTAAGCATGCTAGGCGCAAGGCAGAGCCTCAACGCTCTCCTTACACCTAGCGCTTTCTTGAACCTTTCCTGAACGTAACACGGCGACCAACCCCCTCTACTTGCATACACGCCGAAAATTTCTTGCCCCGCCGTTGCTCAATCTCAGTCCAACCCCGACTTGGCGACTCCGAGAAGAAGATCCAACCACAAACCATCCCTGCCTCGATGGAGTCTGATGCCGAATCGATCCCATTTGAATCGCCGATTCCCCTCCCAGCGGCCATGCTCCCGACTTGTGTTCGCCAAACCCAGATGCCAATACAAGTAGAAATCAAAACTTGGGTGGAAACCTGGTTTCGAATTTTTTTGTTTCAAAGATAACCTAGTTTCGTTACTTTTGTATAGAAGAACAGATATGTAAAGGGGTTGAAGATGGAATGAAAAGTTATTTCAATCTATAAATCATACATATCAGCACAAAAACAAAGTTTATGGGTTCGCTAACGTAACGGGTCTAGAGCTATGTCTTCATTAAGCCTGTGTGGCTTTTATTGGGCCGAGCTGCTCGTTTAGAGAGCCCATACTCACTTCAATTTTGCCACTTCAATTTTGCCCAGCTAAGCTATGGTACTCTTTTAATCCATCATAGCCCGGTAAAAGAAATGCTAAGCCCAAATAACATTGTCAACAGTTCGTGCCCAACAGCTGGAGTCAGGGAGGCAACCAAAGATCGGCGGCAGTCGAGTGATTCCACCTGCGAGACTTCGGCGGAAACAGGGTAGCAGTCGGACTTGGTACAAGGGAGAAGGTTTCAACCACATCGTTTTGCTTTGTGATACATAAAAATATTAAGTCGTAAGTAAGTCTTCTATCCTCTTTCCCTTTCAGAATCCGAGCGAAATTAGGCTGCTTCTGCACCTGCAAATCCATTGCAGCAAAGGGAATGCATAATTTAACTCTGTTGGCAATCAATTTTTGGTTTTTCTCAATCTCAGTCTTTGATCGAAGACATTGTTCGTCTGGATCCCAACACTACCAAGTTGCTCGATTGGGAAATCGTGTTTGCCTTCCACAATTTGGTAGAATTGGGACCGAGTCCTCCCCCTGACATTCCAATTTAGTTAAGCCTTGTTGCTTCCTCATGTGTTCGGAACCGAAAATCCGTAGAGGTATGTGACGCGCTTTTTTATTATGCTTTTTTTTAGTGACGTCGCCTGCCACCGGGAAAGTATCGACGGTGGCAGAGGGGAAAAGAAACGGCGAACAGGAGGGTTAAAGTGAGGGATTTAATTGAAATTGTCAATAAGTATAAATTATTTAAATAAATATAATATAGTTAATTAGCTAATAATTAATTATAAATAAATCAAATTATTGTAATTGTTAGATATATTTAACGATTAAGATCAAACATAAAAGTTGGTGCGTTCAGTGCACCCAAACAAGTGGGTGCATATATATATATATATATATATATATATATGTGTGTGTGTGTGTGTGTGGTGGCGTCTTCGGTGCACCCACTTTTTTGGGTGCATTCAGTGCACTCGCCTCATAATCGTCATTCTGAACTTGCGATTCATGTCAAAACAATATCAATTGTCGCTTATGATGTTATGAACAAGAAACACATGAATTTGCAAAAAAATCATACATGATTTACTTGAATTTGAAAGATTTAGAATTTAGGGATTTAGGGTTAGAGTTGAAATAATTTAGGATTTTGGGTAAGGATTCAAAATTGAAGGTTAAGGCGCTAGGGTAATAGTTTGATTAGTTGTGAACTTGTGAATTTATGTTATATCATCATATTAGACTAATACTATCAACTAAAGTTTAAAATTTGATGTACTATAGCCACTTTAAGAGTTGGGTGCATAGAATGCACCAAAAAAAGTGAGTGCACCGAAGACGCCACCATATAAAATAATAAATAAAATAATATTTGTATTTGATTGATGTCATGTTGGAAAAAATAATAGTCAAATTTCCATCATCCAATGTTTATTTACTATGTTGTTATCATGTTATTCCATAGTATATTGTATCTAAGCAATCTATGAAACTAAATTTTCATTGTGACATATTTTTTCACATACTTAAAGTGTTAAACATCATACAAAGTGATGGTTAGGGTACAGTATCATACCCCAAACTCGGTTTAATTCATGGTCTAGATAGAGATCTCTCACTATGAGTACATAGAACATAGTATGCTCCAGGAGCACACGAGTTCGACCCATATATGTATATAATTAAAAAAATCTATGAATTAATAATAAGCGAAGTCATAAGATATAGATCTTGATTCACTCACAATGTTGAGATATCTCATTAGCTCAAAAAGAGCACTTGTTGAGCTGAAAAAAGAGCAAAATCACGAGTTGAGCTCAACGAGCCTCGCAAGATGATCAATACTTAGTTCAACCTCGACTTCCAACTCAGGACTCGGCGCACAGGAAGGGTTAGTAAGGAACAAAATCAGGGGACCGGGGGTCGTTGAAGGCGGCGGAGACAGCAGGGGATACGGGTTTTGCAGAAGAGATGTGGCGGTTCGAGAGATGAACCGACGACGTGAGAATTTTAGGGTGGGTTGAGTTGGGTTGGTTTAATTGGTTTGATTTTTATTTTATTTTTGTGACGTGGTGTGCTGCTAGATTGAATTAATGGATTTTCGGATGGAGATGGACGGAATGACCATTATGTTGTTTGTTCAATCATTTTTTCATTGAAACGTGTAAAATGAAATTTTAGTGACCATTTTGTACTAAATGATAAAATTTGTGACCGTTTATGATAGTTGCCCGTTCTCTGGCTTCCCTTTTTTCCAGTGCTGTCAAAGCCGAGCCGGGCCGGCCGGCCGAGCCGTCAAAACCGCCACCCGGCCATAAAACCGACTCGATTCAACTATTTAGCCGGAGTGGTTATTTGGGGCGGCCGGAGAGCGGCCGAAGCGGTTAACCGCTCGAACCGCTCGAGCCGCTCGCCCGGTTTTTAACCTTTGGACCGGTTGCTTTAATTAAAAAAAAAAACAAAAACTAAAATATCGAAAATGAAAGGGGAGGTTGTTGTGCTGAAAGCCTGAAACCCTAATTTCATTTCTTCCTCTTCGCGTAGACAGCCAGACACGAAGGAGAAGCAGCTTCCTCCTCCGCAACCGCCATTCCCCATCGCCCCACGTCGTCGCCGTTCGCCATCGCTCGACGCCACTCCCCCGTCGCCTGTCGCCATAGTCGTCGTCTTCGGCGGCTCGTTCCCCGCTCCTGCCGGCGAGCGCAATGGCCGGCCGGTGAGGTCTCCCTTCTCCCTTCTCCGGTCACGGCTACCTCTCCCCTGCATCGACCCCTGCTGTCCATAGACACTCTGCTTCCAGGTTTCTAATAACCCCTGTTCTCCTTTTTCTTTCTACTTTCTATTTGTCTTCCTCATGTCTCTGTGTATATGATATCCATAGAATAGCGCTATAGATTTCCTCCTCTTGATTCTAATTTAGTCTGAAAGGCTGCGACTTTCTTGTTAATTTGGCCGGTGTTATTACTGTGTATACTTGCTTTCTCTTTCGTGAGCTTTCCTTATTACCCGTCTGCATCACATAGTCATCATGTCTTTTCCATCTGTAGTATACATCTAGCTAACAAAGAATGAGTTAAGGAAACTAGAAATTGGTTCTGTTGTTGGTTGTCAAATTTCATGAACAAATTGTAAACTGATAAGAATCACGAAAAAGAAAGAGTAACTTTTAGATTGGGTATTTGGGAAACTAAATTTTCGAGAGTCCCTCAGGTACGTGCAATGGACAAGAACAAATTTCCAGTGATGGGTAGCTCTCTACATCATTTCTGCTTTGCTTGTGTAAATTACATTTGTTCCAGGGGCCAGGTCCCTTTTTGTGTAGGAGTAGGATTATTGTCTCTCTATGGGACTAACGGCAGAGTAAGAGTGAGAAATATATTGAAGTTAATTGTCTATGGAAAAGAGTTGGGTGGGAACTGAAGAAATGTCTACTATTTATATAGATGACTGTTTATTAGGTACCGGTTCTCAAACGGTTTTTAAACGGTCTAATGCCGGCTGGACCACTAAAGACCGAGCCGTTCACGTTATCGGGTCATACTCTGGTTCGGTTCTGACAACATTGCTTTTTTCCTATTTCACAGCGATCGATATTACTTTACCGTATCGTTTATGATCGGCATCGATATTACTTCGCTGCAAGTTCAGAATTTGAAGCTCCTTGAAGAAAGTTCGGAACCGAAAATCCGGAAGGTAATCTCGCCATAGCCCGTAAGTGGCCTTGAATGATTATTGAGACTCAGGATTACAGATTACTCCTCGCGCAAGAGTCCTGTCGCTTCCTTGGTTCGGTATCGCTAAACGTGCTGTTGAGTGTTGACAATTCAAATTCTTTGATAAGATCGAATTTGCCATAAAACTGTGTCTGGATTGGGCAAGGCCACTAAGCTCTATGCTGCTGCTCCTCCCTTCCTGAATCTGACCACTATGCCGCCATTTGCAGGCATTTGCCGAAACACGTCTCAACGCACGCCAACTGTTCGACAAAAGACCTCTGTGACGACGAGCACATGCAGAGGAGGCGAATCGCTGAGTATCTCCACCTAGAAAAACTGTGCACCCGTCTGATCCATCACCGCTTCTTCTGCGATCCTCCATATGCCGACGTACCCAAGCCCCGGCGGGACAAATCGGAGAGGAAGCCGTATGTTACTCCCGTAACAGAGTTGATTCGCCGGGCTAGGAAAGAGCGAGAAGCCAGAAAGGCACATCCCGTGAGAATGCTCGAGGACCCACCTCACAATGGCTTGTTGGTCCCTGAACTCGTTCACGTCGCTCACCGGGTTTATCTAGCTCGCGAGTCCCTCCTCTCTGGCGTTGCTAAGCTTCTCGCCTCCATTCCCCTCCTCATCTGCAAGTAAGCGCCCCACCGGCCACCACAATTCTCTCATTCTTGCTTGCCAAAACAGGAATTTTTTTTTTTTGTGAAAAAGTTCTCCCACTCTCTTCAGGTTCTGCCCCGAGGTTCACGTCGGCCGTGTTGGTCACGGGATACGGACCTGCAATGGCCCGGAAAGTAGCACGCGAAGCGCTACGCACGTATGGAGGAAGGGAGGAGTCCACAATGTGGTCTTCTTCCCCAAGTGTTTCCATCTGCATGACCGCGTTGGTAATGCCAGAGTTACCCACAAGGAGAAGCATCACGTTCCACGGATCCCCGCCATTTTGGAGCTCTGCATCCAGGCTGGAGTCGACCTTGATAAGTATCCCACTAAGAGAAGGACCAAGCCTGTTTATTCTGTGGAAGGCAGGATTGTTGATTTCGAGGAAGGAATGATGGAAGACGATGATGAGCAAATGATGACGACGGAGAAAAGAACCACTGTTGTTCGTTCTGATTGTTGTTCTGTGCACGATTTAGACTTGAAGCAAACAAGCACTGCGACGATGGAATCATGGTTCCAGATGTTAGCTGGAGTAAAAGAGTTGATGGGTAAGTACAGTGCGTGGACGTGTGGTTTTTGCCCTGAGGTTCAGGTTGGTCCAAAGGGACACAAGGTGAGGAATTGCAGGGCGACAAAGCACCCGGCTCGTGATGGGCAGCATGCATGGCAGGAAGCAAGGATCGAGGATTTGATTGGTCCCAATTATGTATGGCATGTGGGTAACTTGGATGGGCCGCCATTGGAGAATAGCTTGAAGAGGTATTATGGGAAGGCTCCTGCGGTAGTGGAACTGTGTGTACATGGTGGTGCGGCTATTCCGGATGAGTATCAGAGTATGATGAGGGTGGATGTGGTTCCTCCTGGCCGGGATGAAGTTGATATTGTTGCTTGATCTTAATTGATTGATTGATGTGTTTTGGGAATTTGGAATTGGAAATGAAATTCAGCGAAAAATGTGTTTGGAAATTTGTATCGAATACGGTTGTCGATTCGCGGGTCGATCCACTGATTGGTCATTTTGATCTTAACTTGGTGAGAAAAATGGGCCATATACATCCATCGAGTCGACCCGCTGCAAGGTTATCGGGTTGAAGGTCACATGGTGTCGTTTTTCCTTTAGTTTGTAAAAATGCTTCTATTTTTTTAGTTTTCCTTTTCGCCTAACCTTATTTTTGTTTTGGAATTCGAAGTTGATCTTTTGAATATATATGTTATATAAGTGTGTGCATATATATGTTATATAAGTGTGTGCTAATTCACTAAATGTTGAATCCAAGTATGACATTTTATTTTAGTGTAATGTTATATATTATTATTCACATGTTAGATGAGATTTAATATAATTTATAAATGTATGAACAATATAATAATTTTTTCATACAACCTGGCTAAATCGGACTAAAATGGTTAGCCCATTAACTCTCAACACACTTGTTCAATCTGGTCAACGGCCTAAGCCTGGTTGATAACCTTGGCAGCAAAAAAGATAACTAAAAGTCGTTTTCTCATTTTCCGTTTTGTAGTGAACTTGTGATCATGTTGGGGGATTTGTGTCTGTTTAGCTTCTGCTGCCAGATTACAACAAAAGAATGTAATTAAGGCAATGGCTTATTCTCTAAAAAAGTTTTTAGCTCCAACCTTGGTGTGAAGTAGAAGCTCTAACCAGCCACATGTAAGTTTTTTATTAGTGAGTTCATCTTTTTTCTAGATTTTAAATTTTGATTTATTTAACATAATTAAGAACAATTTTAATATCAAGAAAAAAGTATTGTGAGTCCACCATAAGAAACTGACATGTGGATGGTTGGAGGTTATGCATCCAATTAGGGGTGGGCAATGGGACGGGACTGAATACCCGTCCCGTTTGAAACGGTACACTAGGGCCTAAGAAACCCAAATGAAACGATGGGGTTGCTTCTGAATTAGAGAGACAGTGATGCGGAAGAGCAAGGGAGTTCAAATTTGGTGGAAGCATTTAGGGGTGGAAATCGGTACGGTATCAATATTTCAATACCAAATACCGAAAACCCGAATTACCCCTTAAATTCAATCTCAATCCCAATCTCTAAATAATTTCGGTATCCCAATCCCAATCGCTAAATATTTCGGTATCCCAATCGGTATTATCGAATACAAGATTAATTACCTTTGTAATTAATAATTAAATATATAAATTAGATTTTATTGTTTAATTTAGGGGGAAAAGACTAAGCATAGAGCTTTGAACTAGGATATTATTAAGGAGAATGGAGGAGAGGAGACATCTCAAGTTCTTGTCATTGGTAATCGTTAATTTGACAAATTGGAGGTTGAGAGACGACTATTAATAGTGATGAAATGATCTATGTATAATTAAATGACACTCTTGGTGGTTGAGGGTCGTGTAGTAGTAAATGAGAGAGTCTAGTTGAGAGGATAAAATACACACTAGCTTATATTTCGGTATTATACCGATCCCAATCCCGTAATCCCTAATACCAAATAACAATTGAAATTCAATCCCAATCCCAAGAAATAATACGTGTATTCGGTAATCCCAAATATAGACAAATTCGATATGGTATTCTGTATATCCCAAATACTGGTACCAAACTTCCAACCCTAGAAGCATTTTCTTCCGAGGAGGAAGGGCAGAGTAGCAGAGTGGGCAGACGACGTTATTTGGGGAGAGTGTGGCAGGTATGGGATGTGGATAATTGGTCCGGTACCTCTATTCCTTCACATCCCTCCAATCCCAGTATACTTACAGGTTCAATTTTGGATTGGTGAGGAGACGACGGCGGTGGAAAGCATTGATTGGCGGACGGAGACGGGGGCAGAGTAACCAGAAAGATGAACATGGATATTGTTGGTTGAGCTGGCCTGAGTTGGAGTTGTTCTTAACCGCTGGCTTTCTCCGATTCGGGAAGGGGTGGGTAAAGAGCATGTTATGACCGGTTGGGTTGTGCAGGTTCAGTGGGGTGAATTAATGATTTTTTGGAAAAATAATATTTGTATTTGATTGATGTCATGTTGGAAAAAATAATAGTCAAATTTCCATCATCCAATGTTTATTTACTATGTTGTTATCATGTTATTCCATAGTATATTGTATCTAAGCAATCTATGAAACTAAATTTTCATTGTGACATATTTTTTCACATACTTAAAGTGTTAAACATCATACAAAGTGATGGTTAGGGTACAGTATCATACCCCAAACTCGGTTTAATTCATGGTCTAGATAGAGATCTCTCACTATGAGTACATAGAGCATAGTATGCTCCAGGAGCACACGAGTTCGACCCATATATGTATATAATTAAAAAAATCTATGAATTAATAATAAGCGAAGTCATAAGATATAGATCTTGATTCACTCACAATGTTGAGATATCTCATTAGCTCAAAAAGAGCACTTGTTGAGCTGAAAAAAGAGCAAAATCATGAGTTGAGCTCAACGAGCCTCGCAAGATGATCAATACTTAGTTCAACCTCGACTTCCAACTCAGGACTCGGCGCACAGGAAGGGTTAGTAAGGAACAAAATCAGGGGACCGGGGGTCGTTGATGGCGGCGGAGACAGGCAGGGGATACGGGTTTTGCAGAAGAGTTGTGGCGGTTCGAGAGATGAACCGACGACGTGAGAATTTTAGGGTGGGTTGAGTTGGGTTGGTTTAATTGGTTTGATTTTTATTTTATTTTTGTGACGTGGTGTGCTGCTAGATTGAATTAATGGATTTTCGGATGGAGATGGACGGAATGACCATTATGTTGTTTGTTCAATCATTTTTTCATTGAAACGTGTAAAATGAAATTTTAGTGACCATTTTGTACTAAATGATAAATTTTGTGACCGTTTATGATAATTGACCGTTCTCTGGCTTCCCTTTTTTCCTATTTCACAGCGATCTATATTACTTTACCGTATCGTTTATGATCGGCATCGATATTACTTCGCTGCAAGTTCAGTATTTGAAGCTCCTTGAAGAAAGTTCGGAACCGAAAATCCGGAAGGTAATCTCGCCATAGCCCGTAAGTGGCCTTGAATGATTTTTGAGACTCAGGATTACAGATTACTCCTCGCGCAAGAGTCCCGTCGCTTCATTGGTTCGGTATCGCTAAACGTACTGTTGAGTGTTGACAAGTCAAATTCTTTGATAAGATCGAATTTGCCATAAAACAGTGTCTGGATTGGGCAAGGCCACTAAGCTCTATGCTGCTGCTCCTCCCTTCCTGAATCTGACCACTATGCCGCCATTTGCAGGCATTTGCCGAAACACGTCTCAACGCACGCCAACTGTTCGACAAAAGTCCTCTGTGACGACGAGCACATGTAGAGGAGGCGAATCGCTGAGTATCTCCACCTAGAAAAACTGTGCACCCGTCTGATCCATCACCGCTTCTTCTGCGATCCTCCATATGCCGACGTACCCAAGCCCCGGCGGGACAAATCGGAGAGGAAGCCGTATGTTACTCCCGTAACAGAGTTGATTCGCCGGGCTAGGAAAGAGCGAGAAGCCAGAAAGGCACATCCCGTGAGAATGCTCGAGGACCCACCTCACAACGGCTTGTTGGTCCCTAAACTCGTTCACGTCGCTCACCGGGTTTATCTAGCTCGCAAGTCCCTCCTCTCTGGCGTTGCTAAGCTTCTCGCCTCCATTCCCCTCCTCATCTGCAAGTAAGCGCCCCACCGGCCACCACAATTCTCTCATTCTTGCTTGCCAAAACAAGAATTTTTTTTTTGTGAAAAAGTTCTCCCACTCTCTTCAGGTTCTGCCCCGAGGTTCACGTCGGCCGTGTTGGTCACGGGATACGGACCTGCAATGGCCCGGAAAGTAGCACGCGAAGCGCTACGCACATATGGAGGAAGGCAGGAGTCCACAATGTGGTCTTCTTCCCCAAGTGTTTCCATCTGCATGACCGCGTTGGTAATGCCAGAGTTACCCACAAGGAGAAGCATCACGTTCCACGGATGCCCGCCATTTTGGAGCTCTGCATCCAGGCTGGAGTCGACCTTGATAAGTATCCCACTAAGAGAAGGACCAAGCCTGTTTATTCTGTGGAAGGCAGGATTGTTGATTTCGAGGAAGGAATGATGGAAGACGATGATGAGCAAATGATGACGACGGAGAAAAGAACCACTGTTGTTCGTTCTGATTGTTGTTCTGTGCACGATTTAGACTTGAAGCAAACAAGCACTGCGACGATGGAATCATGGTTCCAGATGTTAGCTGGAGTAAAAGAGTTGATGGGTAAGTACAGTGCGTGGACGTGTGGTTTTTGCCCTGAGGTTCAGGTTGGTCCAAAGGGACACAAGGTGAGGAATTGCAGGGCGACAAAGCACCAGGCTCGTGATGGGCAGCATGCATGGCAGGAAGCAAGGATCGAGGATTTGATTGGTCCCAATTATGTATGGAATGTGGGTAACTTGGATGGGCCGCCATTGGAGAATAGCTTGAAGAGGTATTGTGGGAAGGCTCCTGCGGTAGTGGAACTGTGTGTACATGGTGGTGCGGCTATTCCGGATGAGTATCAGAGTATGATGAGGGTGGATGTGGTTCCTCCTGGCCGGGATGAAGTTGATATTGTTGCTTGATCTTAATTGATTGATTGATGTGTTTTGGGAATTTGGAATTGGAAATGAAATTTAGCGAAAAATGTGTTTGGAAATTTGTATCGAATACGGTTGTCAATTGGCGGGTCGATCCACTGATTGGTCATTTTGATCTTAACTTGGTGAGAAAAATGGGCCATATACATCCATCGAGTCGACCCGCTGCAAGGTTATCGGTTTGAAGGTCACATGGTGTCGTTTTTCCTTTGGTTTGTAAAAATGCTTCTATTTTTTTAGTTTTCCTTTTCGCCTAACCTTATTTTTGTTTTGGAATTCGAAGTTGATCTTTTGAATATATATGTTATATAAGTGTGTGCATATATATGTTATATAAGTGTGTGCTAATTCACTAAATGTTGAATCCAAGTATGACATTTTATTTTAGTGTAATGTTATATATTATTATTCACATGTTAGATGAGATTTAATATAATTTATAAATGTATGAACAATATAATAATTTTTTCATACAACCGGGCTAAATCAGACTAAAATGGTTAGCCCATTAACTCTCAACACACTTGTTCAATCTGGTCAACGGCCTAAGCCTGGTTGATAACCTTGGCAGCAAAAAAAGATAACTAAAAGTCGTTTTCTCATTTTCCGTTTTGTAGTGAACTAGTGATCATGTTGGGGGATTTGTGTCTGTTTAGCTTCTGCTGCCAGATTACAACAAAAGAATGAAATTAAGGCAATGGCTTATTCTCTAAAAAAGTTTTTAGCGCCAACCTTGGTGTGAAGTAGAAGCTCTAACCAGCCACGTGTAAGTTTTTTATTAGTGAGTTCATCTTTTTTCAAGATTTTAAATTTTGATTTATTTAACATAATTAAGAACAATTTTAATATCAAGAAAAAAGTAATGTGAGTCCACCATAAGAAACTGACATGTGGATGGTTGGAGGTTATGCATCCAATTAGGGGTGGGCAATGGGACGGGACTGAATACCCGTCCCGTTTGAAACGGTACACTAGGGCCTGAGAAACCCAAATGAAACGATGGGGTTGCTTCTGAATTAGAGAGACAGTGATGCGGAAAAGCAAGGGAGTTCAAATTTGGTGGAAGCATTTAGGGGTGGAAATCGGTACGGTATCAATATTTCAATACCAAATACCGAAATCCCGAATTACCCCTTAAATTCAATCTCAATCCCAATCTCTAAATAATTTCGGTATCCCAATCCCAATCCCTAAATATTTCGGTATCCCAATCGGTATTATCGAATACAAGATTAATTACCTTTGTAATTAATAATTAAATATATAAATTAGATTTTATTGTTTAATTTAGGGGGAAAAGACTAAGCAAACAGCTTTGAACTAGGATATTATTAAGGAGAATGGAGGAGAGGAGACATCTCAAGTTCTTGTCATTGGTAATCGTTAATTTGACAAATTGGAGGTTGAGAGAGGACTATTAATAGTGATGAAATGATCTATGTATAATTAAATGATACTCTTGGTGTTTGAGGGTCGTGTAGTAGTAAATGAGAGAGTCTAGTTGAGAGGATAAAATACACACTAGCTTATATTTCGGTATTATACCGATCCAAATCCCGTAATCCCTAATACCAAATAACAATTGAAATTAAATCCCAATCCCAAGAAATAATACGTGTATTCGGTAATCCCAAATATAGACAAATTCGATATGGTATTCTGTATATCCCAAATACCGGTACCAAACTTCCAACCCTAGAAGCATTTTCTTCCAAGGAGGAAGGGCAGAGTAGCAGAGTGGGCAGACGACGTTATTTGGGGAGAGTGTGGCATGTATGGGATGTGGATAATTGGTCTAGTACCTCTATTCCTTCCCATCCCTCCAATCCCGGTATACTTACAGGTTCAATTTTGGATTGGTGAACAACTTGTTTGTATGTTGAGCGATTTAGAGAGGAGACGACGGCGGTGGAAAGCATTGATTGGCGGACGGAGACGGGTGCAGAGTAACCAGAAAGATGAACATGGATATTGTTGGTTGAGCTGGCCTGAGTTGGAGCTGTTCTTAACCGCTGGCTTTCTCCAATTCGGGAAGGGGTGGGTAAAGAGCTTGTTATGACCGGTTGGGTTGTGCAAGTCCAGTGGGGTGAATTAATGATTTTTTGGAAAAATAATATTTGTATTTGATTGATGTCATGTTGGAAAAAATAATAGTCAAATTTCCATCATCCAATGTTTATTTACTATGTTGTTATCATGTTATTCCATAGTATATTGTATCTAAGCAATCTATGAAACTAAATTTTCATTGTGACATATTTTTTCACATACTTAAAGTGTTAAACAACATACAAAATGATGGTTAGGGTACAGTATCATACCCCAAACTCGGTTTAATTCATGGTCTAGATAGAGATCTCTCACTATGAGTACATAGAGCATAGTATGCTCCAGGAGCACACGAGTTCGACCCATATATGTATATAATTAAAAAAATCTATGAATTAATAATAAGCGAAGTCATAAGGTATAGATCTTGATTCACTCACAATGTTGAGATATCTCATTAGCTCAAAAAGAGCACTTGTTGAGCTGAAAAAAGAGCAAAATCACGAGTTGAGCTCAACGAGCCTCGCAAGATGATCAATACTTAGTTCAACCTCGACTTCCAACTCAGGACTCGGCGCACAGGAAGGGTTAGTAAAGAACAAAATCAGGGGACCGGGGGTCGTTGATGGCGGCGGAGACAGGCAGGGGATACGGGTTTTGCAGAAGAGATGTGGCGGTTCGAGAGATGAACCGACGACGTGAGAATTTTAGGGTGGGTTGAGTTGGGTTGGTTTAATTGGTTTGATTTTTATTTTATTTTTGTGACGTGGTGTGCTGCTAGATTGAATTAATGGATTTTCGGATGGAGATGGACGGAATGACCATTATGTTGTTTGTTCAATAATTTTTTCATTGAAACGTGTAAAATGAAATTTTAGTGACCATTTTGTACTAAATGATAAATTTTGTGACCGTTTATGATAATTTCCCGTTCTCTGGCTTCCCTTTTTTCCTATTTCACAGCGATCGATATTACTTTACCGTATCGTTTATGATCGGCATCGATATTACTTCGCTGCAAGTTCAGAATTTGAAGCTCCTTGAAGAAAGTTCGGAACCGAAAATCCGGAAGGTAATCTCGCCATAGCCCGTAAGTGGCCTTGAATGATTATTGAGACTCAGGATTACAGATTACTCCTCGCGCAAGAGTCCTGTTGCTTCCTTGGTTCGGTATCGCTAAACGTACTGTTGAGTGTTGACAAGTCAAATTCTTTGATAAGATCGAATTTGCCATAAAACTGTGTCTGGATTGGGCAAGGCCACTAAGCTCTATGCTGCTGCTCCTCCCTTCCTGAATCTGACCACTATGCCGCCATTTGCAGGCATTTGCCGAAACACGTCTCAACGCACGCCAACTGTTCGACAAAAGTCCTCTGTGACGACGAGCACATGCAGTGGAGGCGAATCGCTGAGTATCTCCACCTAGAAAAACTGTGCACCCGTCTGATCCATCACCGCTTCTTCTGCGATCCTCCATATGCCGACGTACCCAAGCCCCGGCGGGACAAATCGGAGAGGAAGCCGTATGTTAGTCCCGTAACAGAGTTGATTCGCCGGGCTAGGAAAGAGCGAGAATCCAGAAAGGCACATCCCGTGAGAATGCTCGAGGACCCACCTCACAACGGCTTGTCGGTCCCTGAACTCGTTCACGTCGCTCATCGGGTTTATCTAGCTCGCTAGTCCCTCCTCTCTGGCGTTGCTAAGCTTCTCGCCTCCATTCCCCTCCTCATCTGCAAGTAAGCGCCCCACCGGCCACCACAATTCTCTCATTCTTGCTTGCCAAAACAGGAAATGTGTTTGGAAATTTGTATCGAATACGGTTGTCAATTCGCGGGTCGATCCACTGATTGGTCATTTTGATCTTAACTTGGTGAGAAAAATGGGCCATATACATCCATCGAGTCGACCCGCTGCAAGGTTATCGGGTTGAAGGTCACATGGTGTCGTTTTTCCTTGTAAAAATGCTTCTATTTTTTTAGTTTTCCTTTTCGCCTAACCTTATTTTTGTTTTGGAATTCGAAGTTGATCTTTTGAATATATATATGTTATATAAGTGTGTGCATATATATGTTATATAAGTGTGTGCTAATTCACTAAATGTTGAATCCAAGTATTACATTTTATTTTAGTGTAATGTTATATATTATTATTCACATGTTAGATGAGATTTAATATAATTTATAAATGTATGAACAATATAATAATTTTTTCATACAACCGGGCTAAATCGGACTAAAATGGTTAGCCCATTAACTCTCAACACACTTGTTCAATCTGGTCAACGGCCTAAGCCTGGTTGATAACCTTGGCAGCAAAAAAGATAACTAAAAGTCGTTTTCTCATTTTCCGTTTTGTAGTGAACTAGTGATCATGTTGGGGGATTTATGTTTGTTTAGCTTATGCTGCCAGATTACAACAAAAGAATGAAATTAAGGCAATGGCTTATTCTCTAAAAAAGTTTTTTAGCTCCAACCTTGGTGTGAAGTAGAAGCTCTAACCAGCCACGTGTAAGTTTTTTATTAGTGAGTTCATCTTTTTTCTAGATTTTAAATTTTGATTTATTTAACATAATTAAGAACAATTTTAATATCAATAAAAAAGTAATGTGAGTCCACCATAAGAAACTGACATGTGGATGGTTGGAGGTTATGCATCCAATTAGGGGTGGGCAATGGGACGGGACTGAATACCCGTCCCGTTTGAAATGGTACACTAGGGCCTGAGAAACCCAAATGAAACGATGGGGTTGCTTCTGAATTAGAGAGACAGTGATGCGGAAGAGCAAGGGAGTTCAAATTTGGTGGAAGCATTTAGGGGTGGAAATCGGTACGGTATCAATATTTCAATACCAAATACCGAAATCCCGAATTACCCCTTAAATTCAATCTCAATCCCAATCTCTAAATAATTTCGGTATCCCAATCCCAATCCCTAAATATTTCGGTATCCCAATCGGTATTATCGAATACAAGATTAATTACCTTTGTAATTAATAATTAAATATATAAATTAGATTTTATTGTTTAATTTAGGGGGAAAAGACTAAGCAAACAGCTTTGAACTAGGATATTATTAAGGAGAATGGAGGAGAGGAGACATCTCAAGTTCTTGTCATTGGTAATCATTAATTTGACAAATTGGAGGTTGAGTGACGACTATTAATAGTGATGAAATGATCTATGTATAATTAAATGACACTCTTGGTGGTAGAGGGTCGTGTAGTAGTAAATGAGAGAGTCTAGTTGAGAGGATAAAATACACACTAGCTTTTATTTCGGTATTATACCGATCCCAATCCCGTAATCCCTAATACCAAATAACAATTGAAATTCAATCCCAATCCCAAGAAATAATACGTGTATTCGGTAATCCCAAATATAGACAAATTCGATATGGTATTCTGTATATCCCAAATACCGGTACCAAACTTCCAACCCTAGAAGCATTTTCTTCCGAGGAGGAAGGGCAGAGTAGCAGAGTGGGCAGACGACGTTATTTGGGGAGAGTGTGGCAGGTATGGGATGTGGATAATTGTTCCAGTACCTCTATTCCTTCCCATCCCTCCAATCCCAGTATACTTACAGGTTCAATTTTGGATTGGTGAACAACTTGTTTGTATGTTGAGCGATTTAGAGAGGAGACGACGACGGTGGAAAGCATTGATTGGCGGACGGAGACGGGGGCAGAGTAACCAGAAAGATGAACATGGATATTGTTGGTTGAGCTGGCCTGAGTTGGAGCTGTTCTTAACCGCTGGCTTTCTCCAATTCGGGAAGGGGTGGGTAAAGAGCTTGTTATGACCGGTTGGGTTGTGCAGATTCAGTGGGGTGAATTAATGATTTTTTGGAAAAATAAAATTTGTACTTGATTGATGTCATGTTGGAAAAAATAATAGTCAAATTTCCATCATCCAATGTTTATTTACTATGTTGTTATCATGTTATTCCATAGTATATTGTATCTAAGCAATCTATGAAACTAAATTTTCATTGTGACATATTTTTTCACATACTTAAAGTGTTAAACATCATACAAAGTGATGGTTAGGGTACAGTATCATACCCCAAACTCGGTTTAATTCATGGTCTAGATAGAGATCTCTCACTATGAGTACATAGAGCATAGTATGCTCCAGGAGCACACGAGTTCGACCCATATATGTATATAATTAAAAAAATCTATGAATTAATAATAAGCGAAGTCATAAGATATAGATCTTGATTCACTCACAATGTTGAGATATCTCATTAGCTCAAAAAGAGCACTTGTTGAGCTGAAAAAAGAGCAAAATCACGAGTTGAGCTCAACGAGCCTCGCAAGATGATCAATACTTAGTTCAACCTCGACTTCCAACTCAGGACTCGGCGCACAGGAAGGGTTAGTAAGGAACAAAATCAGGGGACCGGGGGTCGTTGATGGCGGCGGAGACAGGCAGGGGATACGGGTTTTGCAGAAGAGATGTGGCGGTTCGAGAGATGAACCGACGACGTGAGAATTTTAGGGTGGGTTGAGTTGGGTTGGTTTAATTGGTTTGATTTTTATTTTATTTTTGTGACGTGGTGTGCTGCTAGATTGAATTAATGGATTTTCGGATGGAGATGGACGGAATGACCATTATGTTGTTTGTTCAATCATTTTTTCATTGAAACGTGTAAAATGAAATTTTAGTGAATATTTTGTACTAAATGATAAATTTTGTGACCGTTTATGATAATTGCCCGTTCTCTGGCTTCCCTTTTTTCCTATTTCACAGCGATCGATATTACTTTACCGTATCGTTTATGATCGGCATCGATATTACTTCGCTGCAAGTTCAGAATTTGAAGCTCCTTGAAGAAAGTTCGGAACCGAAAATCAGGAAGGTAATCTCGCCATAGCCCGTAAGTGGCCTTGAATGATTATTGAGACTCAGGATTACAGATTACTCCTCGCGCAAGAGTCCTGTCGCTTTCTTGGTTCGGTATCGCTAAACGTACTGTTGAGTGTTGACAAGTCAAATTCTTTGATAAGATCGAATTTGCCATAAAACTGTGTCTGGATTGGGCAAGGCCACTAAGCTCTATGCTGCTGCTCCTCCCTTCCTGAATCTGACCACTATGCCGCCATTTGCAGGCATTTGCCGAAACACGTCTCAACGCACACCAACTGTTCGACAAAAGTCCTCTGTGACGACGAGCACATGCAGTGGAGGCGAATCGCTGAGTATCTCCACCTAGAAAAACTGTGCACCCGTCTGATCCATCACCGCTTCTTCTGCGATCCTCCATATGTTGACGTACCCAAGCCCCAGCGGGACAAATCGGAAAGGAAGCCGTATGTTAGTCCCGTAACAGAGTTGATTCGCCGGGCTAGGAAAGAGCGAGAAGCCAGAAAGGCACATCCCGTGAGAATGCTCGAGGACCCACCTCACAACGGCTTGTTGGTCCCTCAACTCGTTCACGTCGCTCACCGGGTTTATCTAGCTCGCGAGTCCCTCCTCTCTGGCGTTGCTAAGCTTCTCGCCTCCATTCCCCTCCTCATCTGCAACTAAGCGCCCCACCGGCCACCACAATTCTCTCATTCATGCTTGCCAAAACAGGAACTTTTTTTTTTTGTGAAAAAGTTCTCCCACTCTCTTCAGGTTCTGCCCCGAGGTTCACGTCGGCCGTGTTGGTCACGGGATACGGACCTGCAATGGCCCGGAAAGTAGCACGCGAAGCGCTACGCACGTATGGAGGAAGGGAGGAGTCCACAATGTGATCTTCTTCCCCAAGTGTTTCCATCTGCATGACCGCGTTGGTAATGCCAGAGTTACCCACAAGGAGAAGCATCACGTTCCACGGATCCCCGCCATTTTGGAGCTCTGCATCCAGGCTGGAGTCGACCTTGATAAGTATCCCACTAAGAGAAGGACCAAGCCTATTTATTCTGTGGAAGGCAGGATTGTTGATTTCGAGGAAGGAATGATGGAAGACGATGATGAGCAATTGATGACGACGGAGAAAAGAACCACTGTTGTTCGTTCTGATTGTTGTTCTGTGCACGATTTAGACTTGATGCAAACAAGCACTGCGACGATGGAATCATGGTTCCAGATGTTAGCTGGAGTAAAAGAGTTGATGGGTAAGTACAGTGCGTGGACGTGTGGTTTTTGCCCTGAGGTTCAGGTTGGTCCAAAGGGACACAAGGTGAGGAATTGCAGGGCGACAAAGCACCAGGCTCGTGATGGGCAGCATGCATGGCAGGAAGCAAGGATCGAGGATTTGATTGGTCCCAATTATGTATGGCATGTGGGTAACTTGGATGGGCCGCCATTGCAGAATAGCTTGAAGAGGTATTATGGGAAGGCTCCTGCGGTAGTGGAACTGTGTGTACATGGTGGTGCGGCTATTCCGGATGAGTATCAGAGTATGATGAGGGTGGATGTGGTTCCTCCTGGCCAGGATGAAGTTGATATTGTTGCTTGATCTTAATTGATTGATTGATGTGTTTTGGGAATTTGGAAATGGAAATGAAATTTAGCGAAAAATGTGTTTGGAAATTTGTATCGAATACGGTTGTCAATTCGCGGGTCGATCCACTGATTGGTCATTTTGATCTTAACTTGGTGAGAAAAATGGGCCATATACATCCAACGAGTCGACCCGCTGCAAGGTTATCGGGTTGAAGGTCTCATGGTGTCGTTTTTCCTTTGGTTTGTAAAAATGCTTCTATTTTTTTAGTTTTCCTTTTCGCCTAACCTTATTTTTGTTTTGGAATTCGAAGTTGATCTTTTGAATATATATGTTATATAAGTGTGTGCATATATATGTTATATAAGTGTGTGCTAATTCACTAATTGTTGAATCCAAGTATGACATTTTATTTTAGTGTAATGTTATATATTATTATTCACATGTTAGATGAGATTTAATATAATTTATAAATGTATGAACAATATAATAATTTTTTCATACAACCGGGCTAAATCGGACTAAAATGGTTAGCCCATTAACTCTCAACACACTTGTTCAATCTGGTCAACGGCCTAAGCCTGGTTGATAACCTTGGCAGCAAAAAAGATAACTAAAAGTCGTTTTCTCATTTTCCGTTTTGTAGTGAACTAGTGATCATGTTGGGGGATTTGTGTCTGTTTAGCTTCTGCTGCCAGATTACAACAAAAGAATGAAATTAAGGCAATGGCTTATTCTCTAAAAAAGTTTTTAGCTCCAACCTTGGTGTGAAGTAGAAGATCTAACCAGCCACGTGTAAGTTTTTTATTAGTGAGTTCATCTTTTTTCTAGATTTTAAATTTTGATTTATTTAACATAATTAAGAACAATTTTAATATCAAGAAAAAAGTAATGTGAGTCCACCATAAGAAACTGACATGTGGATGGTTGGAGGTTATGCATCCAATTAGGGGTGGGCAATGGGACGGGACTGAATACCCGTCCCGTTTGAAACGGTACACTAGGGCCTGAGAAACCCAAATGAAACGATGGGGTTGCTTCTGAATTAGAGAGACAGTGATGCGGAAGAGCAAGGGAGTTCAAATTTGGTGGAAGCATTTAGGGGTGGAAATCGGTACGGTATCAATATTTCAATACCAAATACCGAAATCCCGAATTACCCCTTAAATTCAATCTCAATCCCAATCTCTAAATAATTTCGGTATCCCAATCCCTAAATATTTCGGTATCCCAATCGGTATTATCGAATACAAGATTAATTACCTTTGTAATTAATAATTAAATATATAAATTAGATTTTATTGTTTAATTTAGGGGGAAAAGACTAAGCAAAGAGCTTTGAACTATGATATTATTAAGGAGAATGAAGGAGAGGAGACATCTCAAGTTCTTGTCATTGGTAATCGTTAATTTGACAAATTGGAGGTTGAGAGACGACTATTAATAGTGATGAAATGATCTATGTATAATTAAATGACACTCTTGGTTGTTGAGGGTCGTGTAGTAGTAAATGAGAGAGTCTAGTTGAGAGGATAAAATAGACACTAGCTTATATTTCGGTATTATACCGATCACAATCCCGTAATCCCTAATACCAAATAACAATTGAAATTCAATCCCAAACCCAAGAAATAATACGTGTATTCGGTAATCCCAAATATAGACAAATTCGATATGGTATTCTGTATATCCCAAATACCGGTACCAAACTTCCAACCCTAGAAGCATTTTCTTCCGAGGAGGAAGGGCAGAGTAGCAGAGTGGGTGGACGACGTTATTTGGGGAGAGTGTGGCAGGTATGGGATGTGGATAATTGGTCCAGTACCTCTATTCCTTCCCATCCCTCCAATCCCAGTATACTTACAGGTTCAATTTTGGATTGGTGAACAACTTGTTTGTATGTTGAGCGATTTAGAGAGGAGACGACGGCGGTGGAAAGCATTGATTGGCGGACGGAGACGGGGGCAGAGTAACCAGAAAGATGAACATGGATATTGTTGGTTGAGCTGGCCTGAGTTGGAGCTGTTCTTAACCGCTGGCTTTCTCCAATTCGGGAAGGGGTTGGTAAAGAGCTTGTTATGACCAGTTGGGTTGTGCAGGTTCAGTGGGGTGAATTAATGATTTTTTGGAAAAATAATATTTATATTTGATTGATGTCATGTTGGAAAAAATAATAGTCAAATTTCCATCATCCAATGTTTATTTACTATGTTGTTATCATGTTATTCCATAGTATATTGTATCTAAGCAATCTATGAAACTAAATTTTCATTGTGACATATTTTTTCACATACTTAAAGTGTTAAACATCATACAAAGTGATGGTTAGGGTACAGTATCATACCCCAAACTCGGTTTAATTCATGGTCTAGATAGAGATCTCTCACTATGAGTACATAGAGCATAGTATGCTCCAGGAGCACACGAGTTCGACCCATATATGTATATAATTAAAAAAATCTATGAATTAATAATAAGCGAAGTCATAAGATATAGATCTTGTTTCACTCACAATGTTGAGATATCTCATTAGCTCAAAAAGAGCACTTGTTGAGCTGAAAAGAGAGCAAAATCACGAGTTGAGCTCAACGAGCCTCGCAAGATGATAATTACTTAGTTCAACCTCGACTTTCAACTCAGGACTCGGCGCACAGGAAGGGTTAGTAAGGAACAAAATCAGGGGACCGGGGGTCGTTGATGGCGGCGGAGACAGGCAGGGGATACGGGTTTTGCAGAAGAGATGTGGCGGTTCGAGAGATGAACCGACGACGTGAGAATTTTAGGGTGGGTTGAGTTGGGTTGGTTTAATTGGTTTGATTTTTATTTTATTTTTGTGACGTGGTGTGCTGCTAGATTGAATTAATGGATTTTCGGATGGAGATGGACGGAATGACCATTATTTTGTTTGTTCAATCATTTTTTCATTGAAACGTGTAAAATGAAATTTTAGTGACCATTTTGTACTAAATGATAAATTTTGTGACCGTTTATGATAATTGCCCGTTCTCTGGCTTCCCTTTTTTCCTATTTCACAGCGATCGGTATTACTTTACCGTATCGTTTATGATCGGCATCGATATTACTTCGCTGCAAGTTCAGAATTTGAAGCTCCTTGAAGAAAGTTCGGAACCGAAAATCCGGATGGTAATCTCGCCATAGCCCGTAAGTGGCCTTGAATGATTTTTGAGACTCAGGATTACAGATTACTCCTCGCGCAAGAGTCCTGTCGCTTCATTGGTTCGGTATCGCTAAACGTACTGTTGAGTGTTGACAAGTCAAATTCTTTGATAAGATCGAATTTGCCATAAAACAGTGTCTGGATTGGGCAAGGCCACTAAGCTCTATGCTGCTGCTCCTCCCTTCCTGAATCTGACCACTATGCCGCCATTTGCAGGCATTTGCCGAAACACGTCTCAACGCACGCCAACTGTTCGACAAAAGTCCTCAATGGAGAAGAGGGAAGGGAAAGGGAAAGATGTTACCGGTATGCACGGACTGCAGGGGACTGGAAGCGGACTGGAGAGAGTACCAGTCAAGACAAGCATAGCCAAAGGAAACCAAAGAGCTCAAACACAGTATGTTAGGTTCAATGGTCAGGCCAATAAAATATCATCCAAACCAAAAGAAAACAAACCAAACCCACACCGGGTTACAATCCGACGCAAAACACAAGAAAGAAAATCAAACCGTGGTGGGGTTGCCTCCCCACAAAGCGCTTCTTTACCGTCGTATTAGCTGGACGCCCATGGTGGATACTCAGGGCGGTGCAGGAACAGGTGCCTCCAAGAGCGGATCCACGTCGGATGCGACCACATCCTCAGGTTGTGGCCATGCACCCGACGGATGCGACCACCCTCATCAGTCAGCTCGACCTGCCCGTCTGGCAAGATGCAGGCGAGTGAGTACCCGGGCGGCCAGGGTGGTGGTGGTGCAGGAGGTGGGACCAGCTCATAGTGGTCTCCACTCTTCTTCCGTGCAGGCTTAGCAACCTGCGGCTTCAGCCCCCACTCCTCCTTGAGCTTTTTGTTCGGAGGCGAGGCTGGATGGAGTGGCGGCGAAGGAATGGTAGGAGGGTCCTGCAAAATAGGAGGTGCAGAAGAATACACGACAGGCTCGTGTACCTGATCAGAAATAGCATGCACAGGCGTGACATCAATCATAGCACAGTGATCAAACTCAGTCACAGAAAAAGTAGCCTATTCATTCCCAGCACGCAAGATCAATTTACCATCATGCACATCAATAAGTGCCTTGGCGGTGGCAAGAAATGGCCTACCTAGAATCAAAGGCACATCCACATCCTCATGCACATCAAGAATAACGAAATCAACAGGATATGTGAATGCACCGACACTGACAAGCAGATCCTCTATGATTCCCCTAGGATGCACTATGGAATGATCAGCCAGCTGAATGCTCATCCTAGTAGGGCTAAGTTCACCTAGGTCTAGCTTCTTATACAACTTATATGGCATGACGTTTATGCTAGTGCCTAGGTCCGCAAAGGACTTTCCTACATGCATGCTGCCAATAGTAAGAGGGATAGTAAAGCTCCCTGGATCCTTGCGCTTCTCGGGCAGCTTGTTCTGCAGGATAGCAGAACACTCCTCACTGAGCATCACTGTCGAAAGATCCCCAAGTTTCTTCTTGTTGGTGCAGATATCTTTCATGAACTTGGCATACTTGGGCATCTTCGACAGTGCCTCCATGAACGGTATGCTGATGTTGAGCTGCTTCAACATTGCCATGAACTTGGCAAACTCAGTCTCTAGCTTGTCCTTGTGTAGGCGAGTGGGGAAGGGAAGCTGGGGTACATGCTCCTTAACCACTGGTTGTGGCTTGGGAGCAGGGGCTTCCTTCTCCACCCTCACTTCTGCATCGTCGGCTGGAAGTGCTGAAGCAGGTAGTGGTTCCTCCTGTCTGGCCGGGACAGGATCAGTAGATATGACCTTACCGCTCCTGGTAAAAATGGCATCCAGCTGCTGATGCTGGTGAGGATCTCGAGGATTAGGAAC